GTTTCTTACGTCAGCATCAGAAATGACGTACGAAAACAAGTTCGTCCTTTCAGCCACCTTTGGATAACTCCACCATCCTTATTGACGTTTCAACCTCGTCGTTTTGGTTTGTTCACGTGAGGAGACATTCAAATTAATGAAGTTCATGGTATGAACGGAGAGGCAATCTGTTATTCAAGCAGAAACTCCTCTGTCACCTGATTTCTACACCAACAGTCCTGAAAATGTGTTCAAGGTTAAGCCTTTTGCACCTTCAAGAACCACAGGCGTCAGTAAGTAGCGATAACACGCGTTTTTTCTATGTACCTTAGGCTACCTAACAAAGGCTGATCTCTCAAAATGATGACAGATGTCAATGAGAAGTGTACAGGCACTTCCAGCTCTGACTAAAATGTTATCTTATATAATCCTAAAATATCTACTACACCAGGCCACACATTACTATATTTCTTCTTATGGGGATACCTAAAAGACAAGGTCTAGGCTATGAAACCTGCAATAGTTGCTGAATTGAGAGAAGCCATTGAACATGAATGCGACCAAGGGAATTGGTTCATGATGTGTGCGATTCCATTCTTGCGCGTTGTCAGCAGTGTCTGGATCAAAAGGGACGTTAGTTTGAGAACATGCAGTGAAAAAAAACTATAGAATGATACTTGTATATATTTTTACACTTTTTTAATAATAAAATTATGATAAACACCAGGTTTACAATTATTTAAAATGTGTATACTTTTTGGGACACGCTGTATATTTAAATGGTAAAAATCATTGCCGAGAGTCTGATCAACTGCATACTATACACACAGGTAATGTCTATGTAAAACGTTTAATGAAGCAATCTGATGAACGCATTTTGTCAAATTCATTTTGCCAGACTTTGGTTCAAAAATCTCTTCATAACATTGTGAAAAAAAACAGTTGTTTCTTTTCTATCTAGCAGCTGCAAGAATGCGACGTCCCAGCCTCTCATCTGCCTTCTCCACACCCGCTCTCAATCGTCTTAGTTCAGTGCCATCCAAGGTGAGCAATAAGGGAGTACGCTAAGTACGTTCTATGGCATCTACTGTCTCCCACTAGCCCTTCATCCCATTTGGGGGTATTTTGAAGGTCAACAATTTAGTTTTTCGTTTGGAACTAATAAATAGATTTTGCGCCCGGCTGGAGAACACGAAAATAATGGAATGGATCTATCGCAGGGGGTTAAGTGAGTTAAACCCAGCAACTGCGATCTTCAGACCATGGTCACTTGGTGCAGAAGAGAAGTCGGTGAAGGCCATAGTAGATAGAAGAATGTATTGTGTACACAAGGGAGAGGAGAATAGATGAGAGTAGATTGA